AAACTCCATCTCAAACACACACACACACACACACACACACACACACACACACACGCGCGCGTTTTGATATCATGATACATAAAATGAAATCTTACCAAATACAATTGTTACATGGTCTATAACTGTTAACTCCATCTAATTCTAGTTACTTAAACACAGGCCATTTTATTAAATATGTTTTCTAATACTTTTTGAAGCATAACTTCTACATACTGCACAGTGGTTAAGAAAATTCTGGTATCAGGTTTGAGGAGAGGGTGTATGCCCATTTCTCAAACTGCTTGTGTTAAGAATTCTAGAAATGGTGGGGGCAATGTATTTCCCAAACAGAATCATCTGAGGCACTTTTTAAAATATAGATAGATTCCTGGGCTCCAACCCTAGAAGATTCTGACTTTGTGCATTTGAGAAAAAGGATAGAAACTGGTGAAAAGTTCATCAAATTATTTTGAAGATCAGCCAGGTTTGGGAAATCATGAACATATATGTGGAAGCATTAAGTAAACTACAAGTAGGTTTCCAATCATTCCTACCAGAGCTTAAAAAGTTGCCACTCTGGGGCCAGGTGCGGTGGCTCATGCCTATAATCTCAGCACTTTGGGAGGCCGAGGCAGGTGGATCATGAGGTCAAGAGATCGACACCATCCTGGGCAACAAGGTGAAACCCTGTCTCTACTAAAAATACAAAAATGAGTTGGGCATGGTGGTGCGTGCCTGTAGTCCCAGCTACTTGGGAGGCTGAGGCAGGAGAATTGCTTGAACCCAGAAGGCGGAGGTTGTGGTGAGCCGAGATCGTGCTATTGCAATCCAGTCTGGGTAACAACAGCAAAACTCCATCTCAAAAAAAAAAAAAAGTTGCCACTCTGAACCCACATGAACACAAAAAAATTTATCTACCATGGAAATGTCATTCTGAATTGCTTTTGCAATTACATTTCGGACTTGCATTCAATAAATTAAGTTTCTGTGCCATGAATATGGAACTGTCAAAAACCACTTTTACTAGATTACAATAAGGCTTGGGCAGTTTTTTTTCTTAAGAACACAATTTACCACAAATAAAGAAAAAAGCTTCTATACCTTTTGTTTTGTCTTTTTAAAAAGCCATTCATAGAAGCAATGAACAGTTATTTTAACCTGCAACCATATAGGTATACTTTTCAAAATATTTCAGATGCACTGTCATTTGAGTTCATCATCAACTTGTGAGATACTTTCACTATGTTTAAAAAAAAAGAGTAAAGCTGGGTGTGGCGGCTCATGCCTGTAATCCCAGCACTTTGGGAGGCTGAGGCAGGTGGATTACAAGGTCAGGAGTTAGACACCAGCCTAGCCAGGCCAATGCGGTGAAACCCCATCTCTACTAAAAATGCAAAAATTAGCTGAGCATGGTGTGCATGCCTGTGGTCCCAGCTACTCAGGAAGCGGAGGCAGGAGAATTGCTTGAACCCAGGAGCCAGAGGTTGCAGTGAGCCAAGATCACACAACTGCACACGCTCCAGCCTGGCAACAAAGCGAGACTCCATCTCAAAAAAAAAAAAAAAAAGTACTTCAAGTTCTACACCTACATAATACATAAACAATGGGCCCTGATTACTCCCATAAGGAAAGCACAGTCAAATAACAAAATGCCCCAAGTTATATTCCATCAGTGGTCTTCACTAGTATAAATTATTTGAAAATGATCAATATTGTCTATAAGAATAATCTTGCAAAAATTTGCTGATGAGAAGTACCTAGAAAAATTAATTTGAACAGATATTGCACTCTGGTGGCACATGGTGGCTCACACCTGTGAGTAATCCCAACACTTTGGGAGGTTGAAGTGGGAGGATCACTTGAGTCCAGGAGTCTGGGACCAGCCTTGGCAACATACAGAGACCCCACCTTTACAAAAAAAAAAAAAAAAAAGCCCAGCATCATAGCCCACACCTGTGATCTCAGCTACTGAGGCTGAGGTAGGATGATCACTTGAGCCCAAGAGTTAGAAGCTACAGTGATCAGTGATTGCATGATAGCCTGTGTGATGCAAAGCAAGAGTTAGAGCCTCAGTTAAAAAAAAAAAAAAAAAAGGCTATCCCATTCTTTTAATAACTGGCAAAAGTTTCAAAATATAGACCAAGCTCTAGATGTACTTATGCTAAAACTGGTAGTAGCTTATTTTATAACTTAGTCTGAAATCTGTTATAAACACTTAATAACTAGATAATTTTATCGATATAACTTGAGAAAAAGAACAAAAAAAGTGACCCAAAAAGTCCTGTATTATTTCTGACATAGAAACTAATTGCTGTATAGTTTCTATGAATATAACGAAATGATAAATGACTAGCGAAGTATACACAGGTGGATGGCAAAAGGAAGTTGGAGAACTACAAGCAACACTGAAAAAATGATGAGCTGTCATGTGGCACCATCACTGACAATCCTAGGTGATAATAAAATGGTCAGAGAACCAGTAAGCAAATGACAGACTAGTCAAGATTCAGTCTTTACCACCAATATTGCACTCACATTTTCAAAACCTAAGGACAATGATCTGCTCATTCTGGAATAGTTCTCAGACTAAGTAGTACTTGACCAGTAAGTTTTACATGTTTCAGGCCAAGGTGGAAACAAAACAGATGATGAAAACAGCACTGACTTTTTATTACTAAGGCTAAGGTTACAGCAACATTGTCAATACGCATCACATTTCTCAACATTACATCTTCTGCTGTGACATAATTTGAAATGCCCAATTTCAATTTCAATTTAAATAAAATTACTAGAGTTGTTTCTATATTCACAAGTCAAATACTGAATTGAAAAAATATTCAGAGGTTTTAATATTTGAATTTATTTCACAAACAAGAATGATCTGTCATTACTATTCAAAATAAAATGTCCAGACCCCTTTCACTGATTCCTAATTATATTCTTAGTATCATATTGAATCCGTGCCACAAATTTCAAGATGCTGTATGATTCAGATTTTACTACCTCATTGTAACTTTTCAGGATACTTATTTTCATTGATACACATTATTTTAAAGATGTATCATTTGGATAAATCATAAGCATGTATTCAACTATGAGAAATTTGAGTATGTTTGTTGTTTTGTATGAGTTGCACAACTATACCAAAAGAAAGTCAAAGCATTACCTTCCTTACAGTTTACTGAAACACAGTTATGAAATTCAAGTAGTGTGACATATAATACAGCTTCTAATTACTGCTAGAAGAACAAGATGTAATTTACCTCACCAAATAAATCATATCTAGTTTCAGAAGACCTTAGTACTATACTTTTCTCATAACCCCCAAGGAGTAAAAACAATACAAGTGTACCATGAGAAGACCTCAAAATCCTTCACACTTACTCCACCAGCTGAATTCAACCTAACAGACTAAATCATCTGGAGCAGGGCTTCAGTTAAGGCTGCTCCAACTAGGTAAAGCTACTATGCCTGATACTTTGGGAGACCTAACATATAAAAAAGAAGAGAGACTTGAAAGGATTAGGGAAAAAGACAAGACACTGGGGTAAACTCTACTTCTGGGATAAATAACAAGAAGATAAATAATTACTATGGGTTTAGTTTAGTTTTTCTACCAGCAATTTGGGCTATGATAATAGGTCTGTGACCCTAATCATCACTACTCAGAGTCCCAGCTTGAGAAAAACGAAATGTCTTATCAGTTACCTTTTCAAAGTAATGTATTAAATACAATCTGAAAAAGCACTCTGGTGTCCAAAAAAAAACCCCCAAAAATCAAGTGAATACACAGCACCACCTCATTCCTTATTCTGCAATCTCAATTTTGGCTTTTCTCATCTTTACACCATCTTGTCTACCTTTGTTGTCCCAGGCCCTTTTTTCCCTCTTACACATAATACATGTACAGAGACGCAAAACAGAAAAACAACTTTATTTGTGAAATTTAAGTACCAGGGCTTCTTGCCTACAAGACTTCAATCCAAGGTATGGGATTTGAAATGCCCAATTTAAATCCTGTGCAACATACATAAGGGAATAAAATTTTGTAACCAAACCCAAATCATAGACTCTTTGATAAGACTCCAAGAGCACCACACAAACACATTCTCAGATTGCTTTTAATATATTCTCTGTAAAGAACAAAAATGCTGTCCTTGAGGCAATAATCAGTGGCCTAAAATGATTTCTGAACTCCTGACTTCACCACAAAAGTTCTACTAAGACACTGATTGAAAATTACATTTCAAATATACCGCTCACTAAAGAAATGTAAACAAGCACCGGGACCAACTTTGAGATACTGTCCAAGGAAGACTGAAAATAGCCTCCAATCGGGATTTAATTTAAAAAGATACAAAAGTAGCTTATTTAGGAGTATTTTAATGAAGATGAAGAGAACTGGAAATCAGTGATGTTATTTTTAGCAGCCTCTTCAGATAAGACCTACCTTAAATTGCCTTCAGGTGTGCACATTTTAACATCCAATAATTGCCCAGAGGTTGCCGGGGGGGGGTTCTGCTGATAATAGCAAACAGTGAAACCTGAGCTAATAATCACGGGCAGGAGGTGAGAGCCCTCCTGAACCAGCCCACGGCTTGCAGTGCTTCCTTCAGTCCTTTATTAGGTAAAGACTCCCTCCACCCCAGGTGCTTTAAGACTTCGTTTAATAAGAAATTTCTCACAGGAGCTAACGGAATAAAGTGCTACCAAAATAACCTTTTCGCAGTTTTCATAATTTTGATGGAGTGGGTAAGGGGACAAAGCCTTCAAACCGAGTGCCGGGTGGTTCCGCGGACCTGATCTTCCCGCGCGGACCCGAGAGAGAGTCCCTAGACGATGCAGAGGGGAAAGGCGTTTGCAGGGTGCTAACTGGCGGACTCGGGACAAGAGAGACAGCTGCGGATTCCCCTCGGGGTGATGCTCCGTGCAGGAGCGGTCACGGCGTCCGGAGGGACCTGCGTGTGCAAACTCCCGGAGCGGCTCGCAGGGTGACGGCGGCAGCCCCCGCACCCCGGTACCTGATGATGTCGTCGCTGTGGCCCCGGTAAAACTTCTGCCGGTGCTCCCGCGGGCTGTACACCACGCCGACCCCCGCCACGAAGTACACGATCTCCTTAGCCGCAGTGTAGTAGAGGTTGTTGCGGCACTGGTGGCCCCGGTAGCCGTACACCCACTCGAGCCGCAGGTGGCAGCTCGGGGCGCTCCGGGCCGCCATGTCCGGGCGCCCACCCGCCGCTCCCGCTCGGGCCCGCGGCGGCGGCGAGAGGCGACGGCTGCCGGGCGACGAAAGCCCTCCCGCTGGCGGCCGGGACTTCCCGCTTGCCGCGCGTCCTCTAAGCAGCAGCCGGCAGGTGCATCTCGCTTCGGGGGCCGTCGCCGCTTCAGCCCACGGGCGGGAGGAAAACCCTCGCCTCACGAAACATGCTGAGGGCCGCGAGCGCCGCCGGCTGTCAAGTGGGTGCCCCGAGCCCTTAGCCCGCCTCCGCTCGCGTCGGCTCGCCTGGTCTCCTCAGCCCGTAGCGCCTGGGCCGAGAGCGACGGCCCGCCTCCAGCTCCTCAGCCGCCGCCCGCGCACGCAGCTCCCCGCCGCGGTCACCTGCGGCGCTCGCGCCCCACGGCGGCCTTGTAGCCACAGCCTGGCCGACCCGCGCCGCGCACAGCCGAACCGAGCCGAGCCGAGCCGAGCGGCGGGCGTGCAGCTTTGCGTGGCCCCGCCCCGTTCCGCGCTCGACCCACCCCTCCTAGAGCGGAGAAGAGGCTGGAGCTCGCGGGGACAAGGTGCAGCTGCGGAATCGCGCGCCCGAGGGCCGCTGAGCCCTCCCTCTTGAAGCTGCTCAAGCTCAGGCGGACCCTTGGCGACCCCGGGGTCCTGCTGCTGGGCATCCTCAACCGGGAAGCGCCTGCCGGTTCCGCACGGTCCCTGCACCCAGCCTAGGCCGCGTTTAAACCTGGGAAAAGCAACAGCCGGATGCTAACCTCATTCTCTTTTTTACGCTTGTTACCTTGTGTCTTGCTACCTCATAGTGCTCTCGGGCCCAGACACTGGAATGACGCCGAGCTTCCTAAATGTGCTTTTCAATTATTATTATTTTTGAGAGACAGATCCTTGCTCTGTCGCCCAGGCTGGAGTGGAGTTGCGCGATCTCGGCTCACTGCAGTTTCCAACTTGTGGGCTCCAGCGATCCTCCCGCCTCAGTCTCCCAAGTAGCAAGGAGTACAGTTGCATGTCACTATGCCTGGATAATATTTTGGGTTTTTTTTTTTTTTTTTTAAGTTTATTTTGTAGAGGCGAGGTCTTGCTGTGTTGCCCAGGCTGGTCTCCAACTCCTGGCCTTCAGCGATTCTCCTGCCGCAGGCCTCCCAAAGCGTTGGGTTTACAGGCCTGAGCCACAGTGCCGGGCCCTAAGTGTATATTTTTTTAAGTGACCTCAAAGTTGAAAGTAGACTTTAGATTGTAAATTAACATGTGAGATCTGATTTCCAAATAGAAAAAAAAAAAAGTACTTGGATGTATATTTTTTTAAATGTTTGGGACACCATCAACAATTACTCTTAATTGAATAACTTCAATTGTGATCCTGTAGAAAACTCCTATAATAAAAATATTGGGAGCAATCAATTCCTGACTATGTCATTTCCCCTCCTACTCAGTTTCCAAGTGTCCCCTTGCTCACGGGAATACAAATAAGATTTATCAACACCTGTAAAAATAATTTGAAATCCACAATTTAAAAGGTGTTCAGTTCAGGATAGCCACAGATTTACAACAAAAAATGCTAATTCAGGATACACCAATATGAATCCTTATTGTCTAAAAATTACTGTTTGATTTCCCTAGGAAATACCAAGAGAGAAATCTGACAAAAGCTAAAATAAACTACCATCGTTTCAAAAATATGACTCCAAAGGGGTTGACTCCTGTGTGGTACAGATTTATTGGAATAGATGTTATCCAATGCCTACTTCCTCGAAGATACAAATTACTAAATTGAGACAGAGGATTACCTTTTCGGCTTTGATTATGACTTCTACATGCAATTTACATGTGGGGAATAAAGGTCATCTGAAAGAATTTAAATAAATGTCATGAAAAGTAAACTGGAAAGAGTTTCCATTCTAGGTAGAATCTGAAAAAGAGGAATGCAGGATAGGTTTCTGGCAGCTGCTGCCAAGAAACAAAGAAATCAGGCCTGAGAAGTGGCTCTGAGGCCTATGTAGGGTACCCTGGGCAAAGCCACCCACAGTTTCTCTTTGTCACCTGGAGGTCGTTTTTTTGTTTTTTAATAAGAATATGTTCTAATTCAGGCCGGGCGCAGTGGCTCAAGCCTGTAATCCCAGCACTTTGGGAGGCCGAGGCTGGCGGATCACGAGGTCAAGAGATCGAGACCATCCTGGTCAACATGGTGAAACCCCGTCTCTACTAAAAATAGAAAAAATTAGCTGGGCATGGTGGCGCATGCCTGTAATCCCAGCTACTTGGGAGGCTGAGGCAGGAGAATTGCCTGATCCCAGAAGGCGGAAGTTGCGGTGAGCCGAGATCGCGCCATTGCACTCCAGCCTGGGTAACAAGAGTGAAACTCCGTCTCAAAGAGTATGTTCTAATTCACTATTGAGTTCCTTGAAATACCCTGGTGAGAAAAAGAAAAATTGTGGATTATTCAAATTCAAGCAGTGAATTAGAAAATATTAAATATTTTGTTGCTATACATTTGTGATATATTAATTACTGGTTACATGTAAATTTTATGAGACTAGGAGGTAGAAGAATATACTTTTTTTTTCTATGTTTCAGATTTTCCAGCACAGTATCTTATGGATCCCATGATACATACTTAAGTACTCAGATTAATAAGAGATTTAAATAATTTATTTTCCCATTATCATATTTTCCATTATGATTTTAATGACCCAAGGGTAGAGTGTGAAACAAAAACATTCTTAATTAAACCATCCTCAACTGACAATTCAAGACCAAAGGAGACAGCCAAGACACAAAGGTGGCTGGAAAATGAACCATTCACTAATACTAGAGGAAGAAAAAACAAACCTGATTCAGTTCTTACCCTCACAACTTTATATGATCCTGATTACCAATGTCATATCAGAAAGCTTAGTGAAGCTTTTATTGCTAGATGATATTCCATCATCTGTATCCTGTGGAAGTAATGCAAATAAGGATGTGGGAGAAAGAAACAAAAAATTCTACACATCAACAAATGGACATTTGTTAAGCATTCTAAATGAAAGCTACAGTACCCCCTGTATTAGTCCGTTCTCATTATGCTAATAAAGACAAACCTGAGACTGGGTGATTTATAAAGAAAAGAGGTTTAACTGACTCCCAGTTCCACATTGCTAAGGAGGCCTCACAATCATGGTGGAAGGCAAAGGAGGAGCAAAGTCACATATGGCAGCAGACAAGAATTTGTGCAGGGGAGCTCCATTTATAAAACCATTTGATCTCATGAGACTTATTCACTACCACAAGAACGATATGGGGGAAACCACCGCCATGATTCAAGTGTCTCCACCTGTCGCCACCCTTGACACTTGGGTATTACTACAATTTGAGGTGAGATTTGGATGGGCCAAACCTTATCACCTGCTTGGGTAATCTAGTTCCTGAAACTTGAGTTCCTAGTGTGAAATTCGAGATGTTTGAAATATTTCTAAAATTCGGGCAAATAAATCATGTGCTGGCTACTGATTAGGTTTATAAAGAAATCTAAGGCAAAGTGTAGAAAACGTGGCCAACATGGCGAAACCCCTGGCCAACACATGAATGCCTGGCCGACATGGTGAAACCCTGTCTCTACTAAAAACACAAAAAAGTAGCCAGCGGGTGGTGCACCTGTAATCCCAGCTACTTGGGAGGCTGAGGCAGGAAAATCACTTGAACTGGGGAGGTGGAGGTGGCAGTGAGCTGAGATCACGCCTCTGCACTCCAGCCTTGGGTGACAGAGCTAGACTCTGTCTCAAGAACAAACAAACAGACAAAAAACATGCAATTATTTCTAGCTAGCTAATTCAGCCAACTTATGAATATGATATTTTAGTAAGTTGTCCATTAAACTATCTCTGTAGTGGCTGGCATGGTGGCTCACACCTGTAATCCCAGCACTTTGAGAGGCCAATGTGGGCAGATCACCTGAGGTGAGGAGTTTGAGACCAGCCTGGCCAACATGGTGAAACCCCATCTCTACTAAAAATACAAAAATTAGTAGCCTAGCCTGTAATCCTAACTATTCAGGAGGCTGAGACAGAAGAATCGCTTGAACCTGGGAGGCAGAAGTTGTAGTGAGCCAAGATTGTGCCACTGCATTCCAGCCTGGTCAACAAAGAGCAAAACTCCATCTCAAAAAAAAAAAAAAAATCTCTGTAGCCTTACCTTTAATCAGCCTATGGTACATACAGAGCCTAGCGCAGTGCCTGGCACTGCAATAGCTGTTCCATACATATTTAGCAGCCATTAGTTAGAATAGAGAATGCTGTGCAGTCACAATAGGATTCTTCACAGTTTTTACCTCGAACACTTGAAATCTCTGAAAACTTGAACCTTTTTCTTTCTTTTTTGAGACAGAATCTTTCTCTGTTACCCAAGCTGGAGTACAGTGGTGTGATCACAGCTCACTGCAGCTTTGACCACCTGGCTCAACTGATACTCCTACCTCAGTCTCCCAAGTGCCTGGGGCTACAGGCATGTATCACTGCACCCAGCTAATTTTTTATTTTTTATTAGAGATGAGGTCTCACTATGTTGCCCAGTCTGGCCTCAAACTCCTGGGCTTGAGCAATCCTCCTGCCTCAACTTCCCAAAGTGCTTGGATTATAGGCACGAGCCAGCATTAGCTACCATGTCCAGCCTTGAACCTTCTTTGATATCCAATTAGTCAGGACTTCTTTGGTTGTACATGACAGAAACCCATGCAAATGTCTTAAGATAAAAAAGGGAATTTTAATGCTTTGTAGGACTGAAAAGCTCTAGAACTGACATCAATGCACTTGAATCGTAGGGCTCAAGTGATGTCATCAAAAACGAGTCATCAGGTTGGGCGCAGTGGGTCATGCCTATAATCCCAACATTTTGGGAGGCCAAAGTGGGTGGATCACTTGAGGTCAGGAGTTTGAGACCAGCCTGCCCAACATGGTAAAACCCCATCTCTACTAAAAATACAAAAAATTAGCCAGGCATGGTGGCACATGCCCGTAGTCCCAGCTACTCAAGAGGCTGAGGCAGGAGAATCACTTGAACCTGGAAGGTGGAGGTTGCAGTGAGCTGAGATTGCGCCACTGCATTCCAGCCTGGTGACAGAGTGAGGCTCCAACTCAAAAAAAAAGAAAAAGAAAAGAAAAGAAAAAACAGGTCATCAGAATTAACTCAGTGCTACTTTGAGTAGACTCCATTGCCAGCCAAGCAAAATAGCTGCCAGCCGCTCCAGTTCTATATCCCACCCGCTTAGCAATCCCTGTGGAAAGAGCTTTTCTCAGCAGTTCCCCTGGAAACTGTTAGACTTTAGCCTGCTTTACTCTGATTGGCTGACTTATATGCCACCCTTGGATCCATAGTGTAGTGCCAGGTGTGCCAAGAACACAGGAAGGGGGAGTAGGCGTGAGTGATCCTCCCAAAGAAAATCTAAATTGTATTACTGGACTAAGAAAGAATAGGGTCAGCAGGGCTGCCCAGGGCTGACTTGGATGCTTTAGCATTCC